GAAGAAGCCCTCGCATTGCTGATGGTGGCCACTGCCACAGACGCTCCCCTCGCGAGGATCACTGAATCACACGAGACCTACCACGCCTGCGAAACCTACTGGACGAAGCCGCAACAGGAGTGCTAGGCGGAGACGCAACTTTACCAGCCCCAGTTCCCTGGACAATGACGACTAGGGGTGGGAAGGTGGAAGGCAGTGCCGTGCGCGAGGTTCGGTTCGGGATCAGGTGGGGAGGCAGGTGAAGTCGGGATGCAGTAGGTGACTGTTCCCGCAGGGGGAGTGGAGCTCCCGCTGCTTGCATACGTAGGGCGCCACAAAGGGGAAACCATACTGTCGGTGTTGCCTATTATACAATGTCGTGCACTGGTTCATGTGGTGCTACACTACCGTTGTCGAAGTCGTCTACTGTAAGTCTTCTTTGGTGCCCACAGTGCATGAAATAGCCAGAAAGCCTGGCCGAGCAGGAACACAAGCACTCGAGCATACCTAGTGGCAGTTCTGTTTGCTTATTTGACTGATTTACTGAAGTGTTCCTGCCGCGTGAGTTGGGATCACATGGATGACCTGAGTGGTGCCTGGGGGCTTTCTTCATGTGTCATGGTCTTAGGAGGGGTGTTTTCGGGTGGGTATACCAATGGCACATTCAGGAAAACATGCAGCGATCCACCCCCCGAAAGGGGCCGTTCAAAGACGCAGACGCACGCCTCGAGGGGTCGATTTCCGGACCAGGGGGTTGCTTGCAGCCCCTCAACCCCTATAGCAAGCAAGCAAGCAAGACAGAGAGAGAGTTCCAATGTGCTGCCTGGACGGTAAACATGACCTGACACGACGTATTACCTACTGGTTTGGTGTTTTTTTGCTGTTTTTTCTCTAACTCTAGCATCTGTCACCCTTGGTGATACAAGACAGAAGTCATGTCGCAGTCCTGAATTCGAGGCACCGCGAAGGTATACGAAGAAGCGCTTTGACGACCCAATTGTCGTTGTTCTTGCGCTACCTGTACACCAGTATTTTGCGGTTTCGGGGTGTGTTGCCTAGGCCTAGGACAGCCTTCCTGCTTTTTGAACTGTGTCGGTTGCCTTCGCGTGCTTTGCGTTTTACTGGCACCTGCAACCGTCGGTAGCGCGCGGATGCGCGCAGTGTAGAGGATCTTCCGCTGCACGTCCCTGCGCCATGGCAATAGCCCTGGAGAAAGAAGAGAGAGAGGGAGAGAGAGTTTGTTTACTTCTCTTGTCCGCCCCACAAACACTGCTTCAGCACTGTTCAAGAACTTTTCACACCCTCCGAAAGCCCCAATAACATTTGGGGGGCCAAGTGGCCGGGGGGTTTGACAGACCCCTCATGCCCTGGGGAAGAAGAGAGAGAGAGAGAGAGTAGCCATTTTGGCTCAAGTACTGCAACCTTTGCTTGGGGGGGGCTGTCACCCCCTCCTCGCACAGGCGGCTGGGAGGCGCAGAGTTGGCCTGGGGGGTGTCTCCCCTCAGGAGAGCTGCTGCCGCTTCCCTCCAGCAGTGCTTGAGTCCTACGCTGTAGCTGTTTCCATCAAGTGGCCCCGACTCTTAGGTACGCCTGTCGCCGCCATGGCTCGAGACAAAGCACAACGAGGGGGAGATCGTGACACTACTTCGACGGCACCGCGAACAATAAGATCGGGGGAAGAAGCTCCAGGAGGACGGGGGAAATCCCCAGAAATTTGCCGGAAATGCCTGGCCCTTGGACATGGGCACACAGGGCACCTGACTACTGCGGACAACTGCATTCTGTTTGGGGTCACGAACCCAACTCGTGAAGAGTACGAGCGTATCCTCCGACTACATGAAGCCGCACTTGAGAAGGACGACGAGACCACCAGAGCGGCAATGGATAGGGGCAAATCCCCTAAACAGGACAAACGGAAGAAGAAGAAGAAAGAGAAAAAGAAGGACAAAAGGGACCAGAAGAAGGAGAAGCCGAAGGAAAGGCCGGATACGCTGAAAAGGGCCAGGAGTATCTATGACAGTATGGAACCAGATGACCCCCTCATGGAATCCATCCGGGACATCCTGGGGGATCCTGCGGCAATGTCCTCCCGAGGGCCCTCACCAACACGAGCTCCTTCACAACAGGACCTCACCTGGAGGGATAACCCAGCGACCTCCTCGACCTCTATGACCTCAACGACCTCTACGACTTCTATGACCTCTGTGACGACACCGACTCCACCACCCTCACAACCAGTAAGACCCGCCCCACTACAACGGGGAATGATTCGGGGACTTACCCCGATTCAGGCTGGGGCCGCACCGGCAATTCCATGCGCACCTGCCCATGTGGACCCTGTTGAGGCTCCTGCTGGGCCTATTCCAGCAGACAGCGGGGAAAAGCCCCTCATGTGCGACTTGAAGCCCGAGAACCCCGAGAACATCGAGAACATCGAGCACCCGCCCGACACGAACGAGCAGACCGACCTCGACTACCTCAATACGTGGGACCTTTGGGCCCCACCCCCGGACTTTTTCCTTACAAACCAAACGGTTCAAGATGCGCTACCTTCTGAAAGAGAACGAGGCAGGGGGCTCCACCCCACCGAAGACATCTTCAACGACCTGGACCAGACGGGGGACCCCCCGCAAACTGAGGGAATCGCTGACAATGCTGAGCATGAACCCAAGACGGAGCCCGGGGGAGACCCCATCCAAGCCGATTGGGATGATGACAACTGGGTTGAGGAACGCGAGCGAGACGGAGCACACCTGGCCTCCCTGGCAAAATCGGAGGAAGACTCCGCTGAGGATGACGCAGACAATCAAGCTGAAGTGGCAGCTGTGGATCATCGACGCGCGCCGCCGGAGCCAGCAGGACCTCCGCCTGTGCTCACTCAAAGACAGCGCGCTCGGCTGCAACAACTTCTCGAACAGAGGGATGCCGATGGCAATGCTCCCTATGACCTGGACCGGTATGCGACGGATGTAGCCAGGTGGAAAGCCTACAGGAAAGCCGTGAAAGCGGGATACCGAGAACATAGGAAAAAAGAGCGGCAGCAGGGAAAGTGGACCAAAGACCAGCTCCGCTTTTCCAGGGCAAGATCTACAAGGTGACAGGGGGACACCTCTTTGCGGATGAGGACGTCGAGCACTACTACCATGGAGTGATCCATGAGCCCTCTTTAGGGGAAACCCCCGAGCAGCTACGCGAACAAGTTCCCAGGCAAAAAGCCGCTGTGTGCTGGCATGCATGTTTTCTTTCATTGCTGTTGTGAAACAACCAACACTTACTCCTCTCGTTTTCCGCTTTCAGGGGGGTTGCCCCAAGTCCCTTAGGGGTGTACAATAAGACGGGCCGCCGGAGCCACTCCAAACATACCTTTGCCGTGCCTCCCACCTGAGGTAATTTTGCCAAACACGCACATGTCTTCGCGCTTTAATTCGGCCGGCACACCCCAGTTTCAACTTTTCAGGAGGTTCCTTCCCTTTGCGGTTCTTCGGTTGGTTCTGTTTGGGTTCGGGAGGCTTTGGTTTTGTTTGGGTCCAGGCGCTTTGCTTTCAGGGGAATTCCTCCTCGCTGACTTTGAAGCAGGCTTTCACTGCGGCTTGTAAGGCATCGCCATCTCCAAGAGTTTGCTTGTTCTAGGCTCTCGCGTTTTTGCTATTTGGTCGTGCGACCTGAGTCGATGCCTTTCTGCCTTCATGTGACGCGTCTCTCACGACCATGCAATACTTGCCTTGGGTGAGAGTGCTTTCTCTCCATGCGCCCCGCACCTGTCGGGGGCGCTTGATGCGCGCGGTCGAGGGGCAACCCTCGGCTGTAGCCCTGGCGAAAGAAAGAGGGAGAGGGGGAAATACCCGATTCTCAAACAAACACTTCTCACACCCCCGAAAGCCCCATAACATATGGGGGACCAGTAGCCCGGGGGGTCTGACCCGCCCCCTATGCCCTGAAGAAGAAGAAGGGGGAAGAAGAAGAAGAGAGAGAGAGAGAGGGAGCTTCCTGCAAAGGTTCGCTTCAGAATCGCCAGCACTGCGCAAGTTTGGCTCGAGCTGGGCCCAGCACCCAACACCGGCGGCTGCCTTGTGATCGCCCGCAGAATCCTCTCCTCTCCTGAGATCCGAGATTCAAACTCAGAATTGCCCCAGTCCGCCTGCTCAATGACAGACCAAAATCCAGGAGAAGTGTGGGCCTTGTGTGGCGGTCTGGTGTCCTCCGTCGTGGAACCATGAGTAAGCATGGATCTGAAGCAGGGAAGCTGCAGCCCTCGAAGCTGCTTCCTCTTCGCAGCATTTCTCGATTGGTGCCGATAGCCTGACAAGTGCACGAAGTCTCTCAGCACTCCGTTACTAGCGTTATTACTTCATACTCTGTCAGCCCTACGATGTCAAAGTCCGCGGGCTCCTGCGGCCACTGCCAGAGGCGAGCCGCCTCTGTCGCTCGAAGGGCACGCGGGAGAACTGAGCATCACAGGGGCATCCAGAAAGCAGCTGCATTTGGGTCTTCGTGGCGGTCCACTTGCTGCAGACTGTAGAGCATGCCCTGTAACACTGTAGGACTAGCATAGTCTGCCAGCAGCTGTGTAACTTCAAGAAGCATCATGTGCCACACTTCAACATGACTATACACCCTGATAGAAGGACTAAGTCTGGGGTGATCTCCTCAGTGCGTGCTGAAGAGGCATGCAGCCGCTCGCCTGCGCCAATACCTTGTGCCGGTACCAGGCGATGGTCGAGGGCTTCGATGTGTAGCTTCGCTTTTGTGTTCTGCAGGGCTGGTAGTGAAAGTTGTGGTTTGCGGATTTCGCGGGGGTTTTCAATAGCTTGGCGGTACCTGGCACCGGCCTGAATCTTCGGTCTGCTACCCTGCCCCAAGCTGTGAAGAAACTTGTAACGACCTCTGCAGTGCAGGCCAGCCAGACACAGTCCTTTGGTGGCTTCTGCTGCAAGAGATCCTCGTCATCGGTGTTACAGATTTTGCTGCGAATTTCGTTTATCGATATCACTCGTTGTTGGAGCTAGTCGCATGTCTGTAAGGATGTCACTTATCGTGGAGAAGCGGTTGGGAAGTTGCCGATCACGGCCCGCGTTGTGGCTTGTCTTAAATCTGATCTTCCCATGGAAGAATTTATTTCTCCAACGTCCTTCTTGTGGAATCGCATGCCGCTCATCCTCGCTTGTTTCTGGTGGAAGGCGAGAAGCTCTCAGCTGACACCTCCATGCACAGAGCTCGACCGGACCCGCCTGAAGACCCGCTTCCAGTCAGCAAGCGTGGCTCGCTTGCAACTTTGGCCGTCGGGTCAGATCGAGAAGTATCGCAGAAGCCGTAGACTGCACCACCGCAACAAAGAAGTCTGGACCACCCAGGCAAAAGCAAGAGTGGCAAGCGAAAGGCGGGTCCATGGCTAAACACAGACCACCCGATGAATTCCGACAGCTGGGACGAGCCGGTTCAGCCTAATGCATCTTCTGGCGCTGATGTTATGGGCAGTTTGCTCAGCATTCAGACACGCTTGTTTGACATGCGATGCAGTGCAGCATTCGCGTGCTATTTCAAATTTAGTGCACCTGAGGTCCCAAACTCGGTGCGTTTGCATTGAAAGCCTTCAAGGTGCCGACGCAGAAGCAGTTGGAGTTCTGGCAGACAGATTCTATGCCCACGCGGCATCACCTTCCGAACCCGAAGGGGCAGAGGATAAACAGACGGCGAGACAGGCAGCTAGGTTGCAGGTATTTCGATGCTTCAAACCAGCAGCACATATGCTGCACCGAAGTCCTAACCTGGGTTTGCTGCACTTAGGCAAGAGCAGTGGATGAGTGGAGATTGGCCACCCGGAGGGGCCAATGAAGAGGTCGCCCGCGACAGAGCGGGTGCCAATTCCAAGGAGGAGGCTAAGGACTGTGGCAGATGCTTGTTCAGTAGGCAAGCTCCGCCGGTGTTTGCGGCATGCATTTCAGGCTATAAGCACAGCTGACTAGCCTTTTTGGAAGGAGGTCAAGACGACAGATGCAAACTCGAAAGTTGGCACTGCTGCTACTGAGAGTGGAGATTGGCCACCCGGAGGGGCCAAGGCGGTTAAGGAAGAGGTCGCCCCGGAACAAGAGAAGGATGCCAAGACGACAGATGCAGACTCGAAAGTTGCCACTGCCGCTGTTGGTGGAGGAGGGGTCAAGGAAGAGGTCGCCCCGAAGGAGGAGGCCAAGGACCGAGGCAGATGTAAGCTTTGCAGGCGTCTGTTGGGGGCAGTCGATGCTATAAGACTGTAAGCTCGGCTGACCGACACTGTTTGAAGGAGGTCAGGATGTCAGATGTGGACGCGAAAGTGGCGACTGCTGCTGATCCCACCCCTTCCTTCGCAAGCCCCTTCGAAGAGCACCGACCACACAGCGAAGAGCGTCCACGCGCACCTTTGCGCCGTCAGCTTCCGATACCCCTGGGGCAAAGGACAATCGGAGGGCAGCTTCGGCGACTAGGCTGCAAGTGGTTCGATGCATTCTTGTCAGAGATCTCACCGTTGAAGTCTCAAACACAACAGTGCACAGGCAACGGCGGGTCAAGGAAGAGGTCGTGCCGGAGAAGGAGCAGGGTTGTGACTAGATGGGTCTGCATTGTTGAGGCACCCCCCTTTTGAAGGAGGTCAAGATGGCAGAGACGGGCTCGAATGTTTCCGAGCCTGCTGTCCCCAGCCCTCGCTGTACAAGCTCCTCAGCCACCCAGCACCGTGTGTCGGTGCGACCGCAAGATCGCGAAGGTTTGCAACAGGCACCTTGGCGCCGTCGGGTGCTCAGACGACAGCTTCGGCAACTGGGCTGCAACTGATGCAATACTTGTCAGAGATGTCGCCATTGAAGTCTCAATTTAGCCTCCGAGGCTCTCCGAGCTCCGCCATGCTTGTCCGCAGCTGTTTCATGCGTTGCAGAGCTTTCGGCAAGGAAGGCACCCAGACCAGAAGGGCGGGGAGGGGAAAACCAGGAGGGGAAAGGGGGGGTGATAGGTGTGGGGCGGGGGCGGAGGGAGGGGGAGCACCCGCAATGAAAATGATGGACCCCTCAACTAAAACTCAAACCGATGGGTGGGTGGGGGTAGGGGACGCCCGCGGCCTCCGGCGGACAACACCACTGTGCAGGCAGCAGCGGGTCAAGGAAGAGGTGGTGCCGGAGAAGGAGCATGGTAGTAATTGGATGGTTTGTTCTGCAGTGTGTCTTGTATGATGTGTTTGTTACTGTTTGTTTGTCACTGTCTGTCACATACAAGTAAGCACACGCTGGCCTTTTTCGAAGGAGATGAGAACGAAAGACGTGGAGGTGCAGGACCGTGCGTCGGTCCGGCCACAAGCGCTTCAACGCGCACCCTGGCGATCTTCGAGACGCACGGGGAGCGTGAGGTGCGAGCATTCGGAGAGCGCAAGTCGGACACCTTCTGGAAGTGCAGCCCGAGTGGCCACCAATTTGAAGTTTGTCTGGGACGTCGCCAAGCATGGTTTCGTCAGAGCCAAAAAGGATTGCCGCCGTTTCAAGTCGATGTCGACTGTTTTGAAGTGTTTTCGGTCGGACATCCGAAAGTCCGAGTCGAGCTATACTCCCAGTTGGCAGCATGCTGGTGCAACAGCCGGAAGATTTGCATCACACTTCTCTTCGTTAGTTCTCAGGTCTCGAAAGCCGAAAGCCCCACATTGGACTTCAAACCGAAGCCGAAGCCATGACTCCGCCTCGATGCCTACAGGCCGGTACACGCCTAGAGGTTACTCCACCGTATGACATGGAAGAACCCCAGCCGAGCCCTACCCTGCCATGTGCCCGCACACAGCGCTGTCAACGATATGCCAGGGGTAGGCGCTTTGTCTGGACAGTTGAGTAAGGACAAGCGCCCGCTGCAAGCACCAAAACAGCACGACAACTTCAAGTCCTGCCGACCCGCGGATAAGTAGGACGAAGGGCCGGAAGTAGTGCTTAGCTGGTGCATGGCGGCTCGGCGCCTGCGCGGGTGCTCGGACGTAGACGTCTGCTGATATGTCGCACCATGTCGGACCTAGCTGGCTAAAGCAGATGTGTTCCCAAAAGGCGAGGGGATAACCCTGTTTTGGATGCAGCAAGTCGTGCCGCTCCGAACAGATGGAGTCAGATTCATGCAAGTACGGGTGCAGTGATGCCAGCGATTCAAGACCTTCGGACAGACAGATGTAGGCTGTGAAGGATTATGCTTATGTGCACGCCAACAGTCGAGAAGGAGATAGTGAACGCTTCCAAGGGCAGAATCTAAAGAGCCAGGGAGTTGTGCTTACTGGTTTCCTCGCTGCTTGAGCTCAAGAGGCAGAGGTTTCAAGGACAGCTAGATGCATTGTTGTGGAGGAGTTGATTCGTAGGCAGGCCTGAAGAGTTTTTCCTGACTGAGGCTTGCACAGGCAGGGACCGCAGCGAGCTGCCGGTTTGTGCTTGCATGTCATTGCCGCGACTTGCTCATCTGACAGTTTGCCGCGCTGGAACATGTAATATCACAGTCGCCGTAGTGCTAAGAAGCGCCAGCAAAAACTAGCTTGCGATGACGCAACTCGGCTTGCATGATACAAGAACCGGGACCCGGCGGCACCTCTCTGCATTAGCCATACTTCGATCGAAGGCTGTCCGTCCAAAACTCACAGGGCAAATAAGCCGGAAGAGGACCTCGACACGGCAAAACCCAACAAGTCGTGCCACGTTCGGTCTCCGTGAAGTACTCGCTGGAGAGGCCCTTCCCGGGGCCCTTCGCAAGGATGGCGAGGACCGCTGCACTGTCGGAAGGGTCGTTGCGGCCATATCTGCACCGAAGTCCAGTCCCAAAAGTTTGTGATCCCGTTGCACAGGAGAGGCGACGCGGGCGGCCTCAGCTGGCTATCGCTCGATTGGACAAATCAACAGATCGCAACCTAACCAGCAAGGCCCAAGCTGTCATAAGGGCTGACAGGTTCGTGCGTGCTGCCGTCACCTTCTTTGTACGTGAACCTTTCACCCTAAGTAAATGTGATGCTTCGGCGCTTGGTGAACTTGTGGTGTAACACACTTGTGTGTGTAGGTACAAGCTCTAGCGGTCGAGCCCCGAAGCTTCTGGGCTCGACCTTTTCGAATTTCTTCGCTCCCTTCGCCTCTCGCCTGATACCATGGCCTTCTCCGGCGCTTCGTCTGGTGACGCCGCCGCCTGGGCGGACTTTGCCGCTGCGGCTGGCCTCGACGTGGTGGGCCCCACTACGTCGCCTTCACCATCGACGACAACCGCGCCTGGTCTGGTTGAAGAGGCGGCCGCGCAGCCCACGCCGGGCTCGCCGGCCGGGGAGCACGCCGCGTCGCCCACGTCGGGCGAGCCGGCTTTGGTCGAGTCAACGGCGGGCGACGACGACATCGCCCCGCCAGTGATGGGCGTGCCGCCTTCCAGCGGCGATGAGGAAGAGCTACTGGCTGATCGCGCCGGAGCTCCTCTCCTGGGCGCTGACCTTGTCGACCGCGAGGCCCAGACGGAGCACATCCCGCCGATCACCGCCTTTGACGCCCACGATGTCGCCGTTCAGACCGCCGACGAGGTGATCTTCTCGTCCTTCGTGGGCGACACCTCCCAGGAGGCTCTGGCGACTGCTATCCGCGCCTTGTCGCGTGACGACCGTGATCGCCTCGTCGGGGCGCTCAGGCTGGCTGAGGAGCAGCCCTTGGTCGATGTGGCTCCGACTGGGGGGGCAGGGGACCCCTCTTCCTCGTCGGTGCCTATGCTGGACCTCCTCGACTTCACGCCTGGGATGACGCCGGCGCCCACGGGCGTTGTGGACCCTGGGCCTTCGCCGGCGACCGCCCGGACCTTTTGGGAGGAACAGGACGCCACAGCTGTGGCGGAGATGGCGGCCGCCAAGCCGGTCCCAGACGATGACCTCGACGCCGAGCCGCCCACGTCGTTGGAACTCTTCCTCGACGAGCAGGACGCGGGCGCAAAGGCGAAGACATCGTCCGGTCCGCCTGCGTCAGGGGCGTCATCATCGTCGGCGCCCGGGCCGGGGCCCAAGAAGCCTTTCAAGAAGGCGCCGCCTCCGGCGCTTGTCGTCGACGAGCCCTCGTCGACTAAGGCACCGCCCATG